GGCGCTGGACCACAGGATCTCCTTTGGAACACTACAAGAACGTAGCCTTGCGCTTAAAGAGGCCGGTTTGCTCGGCCAGATCCTCGGGACAAGCTACCATACAAGTGAAAAGCGAACGTAGCAGACTTGCGGTCGTCAGGGCAAACCGATCACAGCCGACTCCAGCGGCTACCCCATAAACCGGCGGCCGAATGAGGGTTCCAGAAAGATAGCTTTATTATCGGAGAGGCAAGGGGCCTTATCTCGCTTGCTTCTCATCTCCACCAATGTCTGTCCGTGCGTTTACCAACAGCCTGAAGGAGCTGCGTATCCACTTCTCGCAGGACGCGCCTGCCAGCCGTGGTCTTCGGTAAGAAGGGTGCTCAATTGGAATTCCCTCTGTGCTTCCTTCCAGCACTCAATTTTGCTTATCGACGGCTGGATATCATTTTAGGGACTTTATTGTCTCGTCTTACCCCGCACTGAAGAAGGACAACCCCACGCTGCCCATTCTGATCCGCACGGCCAGCGGCGTCGAGTCCCGAATTATCGCCCGCTTTGAGCAGGGGCGCGAGCGCAAGATCGTGGTTGACGACATGGGCCCTGATGCGGTTGCGCAGAAGCTCAAGGATCTGGTTTCTGGCAAATGACGGGGGACGACAGGGATCCCAGGGGTTTCACAGAAGCGATTGATGGAAGTTGATAAACTATTCAAACTTGATACCTTGGGCCAGCGGCAGGTTCCCGCTGTAGTTGATGGTGCAGGTCTGGCGCCGCATGTACTGCTGCCAGGCATCGCTGCCTGCCTCCCTGCCGCCGCCTGTGGCCTTCTCGCCGCCAAAGGCGCCGCCGATCTCGGCACCGTTGGTGGGAATATTGACATTGACAATGCCGCAGTCGGAGCCGGAAGGCCCCATCCAGCGGAATAGCAGATCGGGGCTGGTGGTGAACAGGCTGCTGCTGAGCCCTTGCTCGACCTCGTTGTTCCAGGCAAAGGCGTCGCGAATGTCCGTGTACTTTGCCGTGTGCAGAATGGGGGCAAAGATCTCGCGATGGACGACCGGTGCGTCGTGGCGGATGCTGGTGATGGTGGGCTCGACAAAGAAGCCAGGCAGGTTGTGCAGGACACGACCGCCGTGGAGAATGGTTCCGCCCTGCTCACGGACGTCGTTGATGCCCTGCTCAAAGGCCTGGACGGCCTCACGTGTGTGCAGGGGGCCGCACAGGATACCTTGCTCCAGCGGATTTCCGATGCGGATTTGCTCATAGGCAGTCTTGAGGCGATCCAGGAATTCATCGTGGATATCTTCGTGTAGGAACAGGCGACGCGTAGTAGTGCAGCGCTGACCGGCAGTGCCGACGGCCGCAAACAGCACTGAACGCACGGCCAGGTCAATGTCGGCATCGTGGTGCACAATGATGGCGTTGTTTCCGCCCAGCTCCAGGAGGCAGCGGCCAAAGCGCTTCTGCACAGTGGTCGCCACGCTGCGGCCGGTGGCTGTGCTTCCGGTGAATGACAGCAGGTCGATGCGGCAATCCTCAGCCAAGGCGCGTCCGACGTCGGCGCCGCCGCTGGCCAGTGCGCAGATGGCGCCCGGCAGCCCGTTGGCCTCCAGCACGCTGGCCAGGATCTTGGTCACGGCCACTGACGTCAGGCCGGTGGTCGGCGCACCCTTCCACACCACGGCGTTTCCGCAGGCCAGTGCAATGGCGCTATTCCATCCGTAAACGGCCACTGGAAAGTTGAACGCCGACACGACGCCCACGACGCCCACAGGGTTCCACACCTCCATCATAACGTGTCCGGGGCGCTCACTGGGAATGACCTTGCCATTGAGCATGCGGCTCAGGCCCACAGCGTAGTCGGCAATGTCAATGTACTCTTGGACTTCGCCAATGCCTTCGGCGGCGATCTTGCCCATCTCCAGGGCCACCAGCCGGCCCAGCGGCTCGATCTTGTCGAACAGCGCCGTGCGCATCTGCCGCACCACCTCGCCACGCTTGGGCGCAGCCACCTCACGCCACACACGTGCCGCCTTGGCCGCGTGCGCCAAGGTACGGTCTACGTCGGCCGCACTGGCCTGCTGCACCGCACCGATTACCTCGCCCGTGGCGGGGTTGACAGACTCCACCACGTCGCCGTTGCCGCCCCAGGTCCCGTTGTACACGCCCAGGTTGAACGAGTCCAGCCCCAGCGCCTTGAGCGTCACCGACGTCGTCCGCACTGCCCGCCCGGCAGAGAACCGCGCACGCTGCATCATCCCAGCCCGCCCCAGGCTTCCGGCAAGCCCTATGCCTCTGACAAGTCCCATGCCTTCTCACCCGTGTGCTGTTTACAGAATCCTTGGCTGTGTTCTTAGGGCTAGTATGCTTCGCAGAAGAGAGTCAAGGTCAAAAAGGCCTGTTGCGGTCCTTCTCCCTCCTCTCCCCCACATGCCCACGCCGCCCTTATATTCGCAAATAACATGATACCCTAGTCCGGTCATGTGCTGTCTACGCATCCATCGGCCTTTCCCACGCTCGCTACCTCAGTGGTGCCTAGGAGCTGCCGCTGCGCGAGCACTGCCTTGCGGTACACGGCCATATCCAGCCCGTCCACGCGCCTGAGCACACGGGCACGCACCGCCATGCTCGCGTGCCACCGCGCGTCCTCGAACGGATCCGCCGCCGCCCGGTCGCCCTCGATCCGATCCACCTGCCCGATGACCTGATACGTTTGGCCCACGTGGTACTTTTGCACGCCCATCAGCCGAGTATCGACGACCACCGCATACTGCCCGTCGACCAGCACGGCCCGGTCCGTCTGCGCTCGGTACTCGAGCAGCGTCCCCGTTGCGCGCACTGTCGTGCCAAACCAGTCCTGCGCCTGGTCAACCAGCTCCTCCAGAAACACCGGGCGCCCCGCCTCGAGCTCCATTTCACGGCAGCAAAAAGAATAGCAAAAGAAAGCCAGGTGTACCAGAGAAGGCCAAAAAGGGGGGAGACTTTATTGTCACCAGTGGGATTCGAACCCACGATTTCTTGCGAAATGGGTGCTTAAAACCCACGCCTTCAACCACTCGGCCATAGTGACGTTCCCATAGTCTAGGGCAAAGGTCTGGCAGTTTCATTTATTTGTCCTTTTTAAGGGTGGGGCTCCCAATGGCCAAAAGCGGAGGGCGCAAAGGGCGCTGCTTTTGCCCCGCCGCACAAGGCCGCAAAGACCGGCGGCGTCAATCCTATTCCCTTTGAGTGCTAGCCACTGCTGGAGGCGGCCCTGGGCAGACATGCCCTGTTATTACAGCTATAAAGTATAAAAGTGTCTAGTACCATCCGAGAAGCTTCCACCACGCCAGCCCAGCCGAGAATACGACGGCCAGAACGACGACCGAGAGCAGTAGGCCGTACATGAACCAGCGCGCCTGCGGTATGTAGCCCTGCGAGGCGTAGATTGCCACGGAGCCGGTGGAGAAGGGAGTCAGCACCCCGGCCAGCGAGCTGAACAGGGCCAGGATGATGGCCAGCAGCTTGGGCGGGCAGCCCAGAACGTGGCCGGCGGCAAAGAACGGCCCGACAAAGGCCACGACGTGGCTGGATATAGACGAGAACATGTACATGGAAAAGTAGTACGTCAGCCCCAGCGCCATCGTGCTTGCCAGCGGCCCCGTGTTGTTCAGGGACCGCGACAGGGAGTTTCCGATCCAGTCCGTCACTCCCAGGGCGGTAAGCTGCTCGGCCAGCACAATGAATGACGCCAGCCAGAAAAACGTGTCCCAAGCCTTGTGGTTCTTGACAATGTCGCTCCATGACAGGACATTGAGCAGGACCAGGACAACAATGGCCATGTACGCAACCACGGCCGCGTCAACTCCGAAATATGGCGTGCCGACCCAGAGCACCAGGCAGCCCAACAGGGTCGCACACAGGCGGTATTCTGGTGCCGAGACGGTGCCCATGGCCTGGTGCTGGTAGCGGATCTCGCGCGATAGGTGCCCGAAATCAAGCTTTGGGCGGAGAAGGATGTGGACCAAGGGCGGCAGAATCAGCATTAGCAGCAGGGCCGGGACGCTGGCGCCAATGAGCCACTCGGCAAAGCCAAACTCGATCCCAAAGATGCTGGCTGCCTTGCTGGCGACAATAGGGTTCCCGGCCATGCCCGTGACAAACAGCGATGACGACACCAGGTTGGCGGTGGCTGCGACCAGAGACAGAAACCCGCCTACCGGGCTCTCGCCTATCTGCGGCTCCACGCCCAGCGACGCAATGACCGACTCGACGATCGGATACACGATCCCGCCGCCACGTGCCGTGTTTGAGGGAATAAACGGCGCCAGCACAAGCTCGGCCAGGCACACAGCATACCCAATGCCGACGGCCGACTGCCCCATGCTCATGATCAGGGCCAGCGATACGCGCCGGCCGAACCCCGTCTTCTCCACGGCCTTGCCAATGTGGAATGCGCAGAATACAAGCCACGACACTTTGTTTGAGAACCCCGAGACGGCCACCTCAAAGCTGCCCCCGATAGGGTCGCACTTGTACTCGTGCCAGTGCCCAGACTCGCCCCGGTACATTGTATTGCACTTGTCACACTCGACAAGCCGCCCTGACGCCGTTGTGCACATGAAGCTCTTTGTCAATGTCAACGAGAGCAGCGCGACAGCCAGAATAACCGACATGTCGTAATCGGCTGTCAAAAGCCCCATGACGACCCTATTAATATGGCGCGCCCGATCCACATGGCAAAGGAAAACCACCCGACCGATAGAAAATGTGGCTTCAGTAGTGGCCACCAAACAGAGAAGGCCCCCCGCTTAGGGGGTGCTGTAACGCTAGGAGCACTTACGCAGCAAACACGCCCAGCAACCGCATACTGGTAGCCGTCAGGCCCTCGGGGGCCGGCAAGTGGGCAATAGCCAACGCAACCACGATGGCCGGCAGCGCTGTGACCACACGCGAGGCCTGGAGGCGCTCGGCCTGCGCCTTCCAACTCCCTAGACGCCAGCGCACTCGCATGGTTAGCAAGAGGTGAAATTGCAGCAATGCAAATGAAGGAAAGCAACAAAGGAAAGAAAGGGGGTATCCCTTGCATTGTGGGCCTACATACACGGACTTCCTCTGCGCGTAGGCGGCGCTTGCTGCTGCGGGTGGCGATTGGTCGACTCGTAACTGACGATGTGGTGCTGCGAGCCCGCCCCTCGGTGCACCAGCGGCGACGATTCATCAGGAGTGTCCATTAGTCAAAGATACCAGCAAGAGGTCTAGGCCAAAAATCGCGGCAGAATGCGCATCTCTCATCACCAGAAGGGGAGGAGAGAGAGTCAAGCCGGCTTGGCCAGCAAGCACATGGCCCGGGGAGGCAATCTCTCCTACCCAGCAGCAGCTGCGCGCACTCCTCCCTCCCCTGGCCCGTGCTTCCCTGATTCTCTCACACGGCGAAACGACACGCTTGCGTCACACGGACCAGGTCACACAGCCCCGGCGTGGAGTTCCGAAAAGGCACGTGAAAGCCAACCCACAACCAGGATCGCTGACTAGCGCCGAGCTACAGTCGCTGACATTGACAATCCGGCCAGCGCGCGGCAAGACTACTCTGTGGCCCTAGTGGTTTGCCCTGCTTTTTACTTTTTGCGTTTTGGTGTACGATGGCAACGACGGTGCGTGCCACCAGCGACCGGCGGCGGCAGGTATTCAAGCATGCGCTGGAGAAGCCGTACGCAACAAACTGGCCCTCGGCGAGCAGCAATGTGCAAGGGGAGATCGTGTCAGTGCTATGCACGGCGCTGCAGCCTTTGGGCGCATATTTTGCCGAGTCGCGTCGCATATCGAAATACAATCGCCGAAGCCGCCGGCGGGATCTGCAGCAGCGACAACGCGGCGTGGAGCGGCCGTCAGTAGCTGACAGAAAACCGCTGACGGAAGCGGCACTTTCTGGAGCCGATCTGCGCAAGTACGTTGTGCTGGGCATCAACAGCACGACGCGAGCGCTGGAGAAGCAGGCGCGGCGCAGCAAGGCGGCGCCGGCCAGCAATGACGATCTAGTCATGGTGGTTGTGTGCCGGGGCGATGTCGAACCTCAGCTAGTAGCGCACTTTCCCGCACTTGCGCACGCGGCGCGAACCACGTCGACGCCCAGGCTGCGGCTGATTGGCGCCGGCGCCAGCGGAACAGAACAGCAGATAGCCCGGGCTGTAGGCCAGCAGCGGGCATCTGTAGTGGGGATCCGCGCAGGCGCAGCAGCGCTCGATTTGGCCGTGCAGAAGGCCGTCACGGCAGTGCCGGCGCCGTCGGTGCCGTGGATTGGCAGTGGGTCCCAGGCGGGTGTGCCCGTACTCTACCCAATGGCCGTGCGCGAACTTCGCACAACGGCGCCGATCCCAGCAAAGCGACACGGCAACATGGCCACATCCGGTTCGGCTGCATCAGAGAGATCCAAGTGAGATTCGAGATCGCGGGTTGCTCATCCTTCTCTCTCTGTGTGCAGATCACTCAGGCGGCAGAGAAATCCCCGGCTGCCGCTCGACTGATGATGGCAATTAGTCTATTATTGTTGGTGTAAACATGCGCTGGAGCTACCAGAATGGGTGCAGGCTCAACATGTACGCTGATGCAGCTGTAATGGGGCGGGGGGTGTCTTGCAGCGCCCAGTGCCAGCGGCCCATCTATTATCTCTCCTATCCACTGCCGGCGCGGCTCTCCGGCGGCGGCTGTCCTTCGAGGCAGAAAAGGGCGGGTGGCTGCAGGGGCCCCGACATGGCCCTTGAGACCCGCAAAACAATGACGCGGCGCGGGGAGGGGGGAGCGGAAGCTTGTTTCGTCCGCTGCATGCACATGTCGCCCGTGAAAGACGCCAAACCGCAATCGGAGGGAGAATGAGAAGATAGGCTCACCGATGGAGGCTCAGGCGCAGGGATGCCAGCTGACGCATGTCCTCGCTGCTCATCCGCGACGCGCTCTCAGAAGTAAGTCCCGACCTCGACGACGGAAGCATCGTCTCGAGCCGCTCTATCGACGGCAGCTTGATTTCCCCCAATGGCGGTGGCGGCGCCTGGCTGTCCTGGTGCCCGTGCTGCGCACCGCCGCCATTACCGCCGCCCATCTGCCCGGCCAGTCCGCCGACCGGCGACGCTTGCGACCCCCGCCGAGTGCCCGACGGCGACGCCTGGCTGTTGTATGCTCTCGGTGCCTCGCTGTGCTGCCACACCGGTTGTGCTTCTGCAGGGGGCGGCATTGTGGACACATACGCCGGCGCTGACAACGTCTGCGGATACGCTTGGTATGTACCCGGCGACTCCATGGACACACTCCTCCACGGCGCCGTGCCCTGCAAGTGGGGGTTTTCGGCTATTCCTCGATCCTCCGGGTAGGCGGCTTCGGTCGTGGCCGGACCAAGCACCTGGGATTGTGGCAAGGGCGTCGATACCGGGTAGTGTACGTAGTGACCCGTCAGTATGGGCTGTGGCGATTGCTGCTCGAGTGGCGGCTGTGGCTGTGGTGGGGGCGGATCCAGCGGGGCATGGACATGGCGCACTGGGCCAATGTAGGGCCCATAGCTAGGGTATCTGTAGACTTCGCGGTAGGGGCGAGGTCGCCCGGGCGATGTCGGCTTCCACTGGCGCCCGGCAGCCGCCGAGCGGATGCGGCCGCCGCCGTAGCGATTGAAGCGGCCCGACCCGTTGCCAATCTCTGGGTAGCGCTCCTCAAAGACCTGGATGCCCTCGAAGCGCGAATCGTTCGTCGGCGACGTCAGGCGGCCGTTCTCCACGTCCTCGCGCGAGTAGTAGCAGACTAGGTGCAGTTTCCGCTTGTCGTTAGTGCACAGAGACAAGGCCTTCTTGATGAGGCCCTGCTCTCGCTGTATGACGCTGGGCGGGGCCGGCTCGTAGGGCATGTGGAGCGAGTCCGCCCGGCCGCCGCGTGGCGCGCTGCGCGACCCGCGGCCTTGATTGCGAGTGACAAACTGGTGCCGGCGCCCTTCGAGCTCGTAGTATATCAGAAAGCAGCCGTGGACGCGCGACGGCGACCAGGTGCGGCCGTCGGTCCACCGGCGCATGCCGGTTTCCTCCTCGTCCCACACGTAGACGGCGCCGGAGC